AAATGAAATTATTATTTTAAATGATAAAACTGTACGCGTGGTATGAAAATTGCTTATGACTAATAAATTGGGGAACTTTTTTGAGACATTCAATGTTTTTTGAACTGTGTATTCTAAAGGTTATTAAGGTGTAGTTCCGAATATAAATATGTTTTTTTTTGTTATTTTAGTTGTCATGTTTTTATTCTTGACACTTTATTTGTGACATTCGTCATAACTTTTGTCAACGTCAAATTTGTTTCGGTGATGAAGAGATTACTATTCGAATAATTTGCTCTCAATTAATTATCGTTTGACAAAAACATTAAATAACAATAAGTTTCAAAAGCAATTACTTTTAAATTTAAATTTGTCAATTTTGCACTATCCGCCACATTTATATAGCTTTGAAAGCAATATTAATAGTGTTTAAATGGAGAATACAGTGAATTCCGGACGAACTAATTTAATTTTTTACGTGTTTTTCTTTAAATTTAATAAATTCAAAGCTTAAAAAATCACCCATTATAAATAATTTTCCGATTATAACTGAAATGTAAATTCATGAATTCTATGTTTTGATTTCTGTTACGATTTAAAATTTAATCCTTGAATAGTTTAATAATATATATTAAGGAATAACATGTAATATGTAATTATTTTGAGCATGAAATAAATAATTGTTGCTTCTTATTATATAAAATTTATTTTATTAACAAAATTTTACCATAAAATAGGCTTCGCCAATGTCGAAATGGTAATTAAATTGAAAAACCGAATGTTTTTCAAGCCAAAGCGGCTTCTTGATGGAAGTATTTTAAATCTCATTCTATTGTGAATTACTAATTTTTCGTAATTATTTACACTATATATTGTGGAACAGTTGTCAGATTTATTTAAAAGATTACGACAACTCTTGTAAATTTAATTTAATTAATATTATCCGAAAATTAGCTAATACTGTTGTAAGCTAATATATTTTTTAATTTATTCGAAAACTTCACGTGTTCTTTGAACAAAACATACAAAATAAATTAATGTTTTTAATTTTTTGACATAATATTGACATTTATGACATAAAAAATATTTGAATGACAAAAACATGTTGTCAAATATCAACAATACAATATGTCAAATATCATAATTTATATAATAGGTTGAAAAATATAAAAGAAACTATTTCAAAAACAATTCGAAAATGAATCAATTAAAACTTAAATTTATTTTGTGATTTATGTAATGTGAAAATGTCCTAAGTGCATTTTTTTTTCAATAATCAGGTTTTCTAACGAAAAGTTGGGCAAATATGCTATATAAACATATAAAAGACTTATAGTTTTTTTTTTTAAAATATTGACAAAATATTTATAAGTTAATACAAATTGCATCAAACAAGTTAGAAAAATGAGCCATAATTTTTAAATCTAAGTCGATTTACAAACGTAGCCTTATATATTGTGAATTATAAACAATGCTATTAAAATAGAGGCGCAATATAATAAGAGTATTTGCATACACGAGGAGTTTTACATCAATATGTTGACATATACATTTCTTCCGCCTTATATACACAAGCTTTACAGTCACGGAGAGTAAAACATGTATTAAGCATATCGATGCAAAAGTGATCACATAAAACACAGATAATATTAGTGATTAAAATCTGTAATTTTAGCAATTTTACATGTCAATATTTAATATTGTACTCGTAACCATACCATAAATTTTGTTAATATTTTTAATTGAAAATTCACATTTTGGGACATATTGAGTTTTGTGACTCAATGTTAATAATATAAAATAAATAATATCCATTTCATGTAGGTATTAATGTATTATTTCAACAATTTTGAATCAATTTACAAAATATTAAAAAATAAAAATTAAAAACATGATTTCATTTCTATTTCTATTCTTGTATATGTAGAAAACACTTAAAATTCAACATTCATTTGAAAGGGGTTCTTTTCTTATACCATAGCGAACATGTAGTGTAAATGTTAAAACTCACCCTCATCATTATTGTTAATAGACCCAAAAGCAAAAAAAAAATTCAAAAAGAATTCAAATGTAAAAAAGAGAGAATAACGTCAAAGGACTAATATTATAATGTGGTAAGTCATCCTTAACCGCAACAAAGGTGAGATATAATCAATTGTTCACGCATTTTTAAATCACACAAGAATTGGCTCTTTCGTTTTTTCTTATGATTATTTTTTGGATTTCGTTAATGTTGTTGTTGATCAAAGGATTTTTATTCCTTTCTTCTCATTTTTCTAGTTTTTTTCATTTATAGTGTAACCAACCCTCTCTAAACAATAATATTATTGCTTTGTTGTCGTTGTTTTTTTTAATATCCTTGTTTTATAATATTAAGTGTTATATATAGTTTTTTAACATGTTTTTTTTTTTTTTAAATTTTTGACCTCTAAAAAAAGGAACAATATATAGTGAGGGTGTTTTTAATTTTATGTATGTATCTATGTTCTCTGTATGTATGTATGTTCGTAAATGTGGTGTATTAATAGAGAAAATGAAAATTATTTAACCAATTTTACATGATACAAAATAATTTTTGTATTTTTGATTGCATGATAATTCTTTATAAATTGATATGAAAAATATTTAAATAGTTCTAAATAAAGGATAATTTATTTTTTTATAGTTTATTCTTGTTATCGTTTTAAATAACGAATCGATCAGCTAACTAAATTACCCTCTTTTGTTTTAACCAATTCATTTAATTACGTAAACAAAATTTTTTCTCTTACAAATTTGAATGTATAAAGTGAAATTTAAGATTTACAAGAAAAAATTATTTAAAATTATATAAAAGAGGGAATGATTTTGAGGGAAACAAATTGCGTCTTACTATATGTAGAATAGAAGATAAGGTGTGCCGCCGTACAAGTCAATATAACATATGAACAAAATGATAAAAGGTAGAAACTAAAAAATTTTCAACTCATATTTACAGCAAGTTCATGGTAGTTTAGCGAAGGCGGTGCAAAAAAAAATTCAAAATCAAATATCAAATGAACCAACTTCCAATATGAACCAAAATAGAACAAAAAATCAAAAAATTCTATTATCCGCAGTAGGACCTTAAAATTTAGCACAAAAAAATGGAACACAATTGTACTTATAAAGCATTATTTACAAGGAAACATTAATGTACAAGGAAATTCAATGCCTGTCTATGGTCAGCTTAATTACAGAGATATGAAATTTGTTTGAATACGAACAGCCGTTTCAAATACAAATAATAAAAGAAAATACAAATTGCTGGATTTCTTATTAACGAGAACCGAGTGTCTATTAGGAAGAAAATGTGGTCATATAAAATCCTCTGGAAAGACGAAAATTGGCGGACGTGCATAAGATTACGTATGGAGAAGGACTGTAATAGTGTTATGAATGAAATATTCAGTTATGAAAAAATATAGGAGAAAATCATAATATCACAGGTCAGGATTGTGAAAATGGAAAGCGATTCGTGGTAGCTTGAGAACTGTGAGTTATTCAATTATTTATTTAAAAAATTATTTAAAACTGCCGTGGCTCATAGAAACACCTCGTACAGGATGGTACACTTTGTTATATTCTGCAATATATTTTTTTAATATTATGTCTACATATAAGATAAAATTAATTTACATAAGTATACACACTCAAATTTCATTACTAATTCAAAAAAATTTAATTTATTCTCATAAATTTATTATGAAAAATCACAAGTATCTCACAGAAAAAAAATTATATCTCATATAGCTTATCTTTATGCATTTACATACAGCATTATCTTAAACTAAAAATCTTCACCTGCAAACCAGGTGATTTTATATTATAGTGCAATATATAGAATATTTCGGTATATAAGAACTCATTAATGAGTGACTTAAATTTCTAGCTATCTTTAGTACTTTTACGATATAATACCTAAAGGGGGATAGGTTGATAAAATTCACTTTATCATTTTTATATATTAAATTCGTGATATATGAAATTATGTTAGATTTTAAAATGAAAGCCTGGACATTACCTAAATTTAAGCAATATTCTAAATAAGGACAAGAAGTGTTAAGAGATTAAGAAGTTAAATTTATAATAGAAGTGATGATGTTTAGATTTCTAATTGTAAGTGTGATCTTGGGGACAATTTTTTCAAAGGCTTGTGCCATACCTTCGAGCACTCATTCGGAGCTCATATTTTTTTATGAGTCCGAGGATAATTCTACAGGGTAGACAAATAAACCCTCCATTTGTAAATTTCTCACGAGTCTCTGAGAAATGCCTTAGTCTTTTCACAACAGCAACAATAGTTTACGTCTATCGCAAAGCTTATGTACAGTGCCACATGATTTCTATAACCCATAAGCAGTGTTACATGATTCCTGTTTATATTTTAATTATTTTGTAATACATGACACATAATGTAAGCATATAAAGTATGTAAATTTAATGTTATCAAAGGTTCAGTTGTAGAAAATCTAGGATCATAATAAAAACTTGATCATAGACCATTAAATAAAAAAACAATATTAAAACAACCTTATGACTAAACATACAAGGATATAAATGAGTACAATATGTGACCTTTTGCCAGTTTTATGAATTCATTTTAAAAAGTTTCTCTTTACCTCCTATAACCTCTATGCATATTTTCATTTTCAATTTATATGCGATTAACATTTCAAGATTAGCGTTTTTTTTTTCTCTCGTCTTTGCTTTTCACATGTTTTTTTTTGTTTTCATAATTATTTTACAATATATTGGCTTTAAATTTTTTCCTTTTATATCCTTAAAAATATGCACCTTGATTTTTTTGCTTTCGCTTTACTTTTCTTTTTAATTTAAGAATAAAAAAAAATGGGGGCACGTGTCTACCACATACTCATAATACCATATACAAAATTTACCTTTTTTTGCAAAAAATACGTAATTATTGGTGCACAAAACCCACATGGTTTAAAAAAATAATATAGAAGAAAAAAAAAAATTAATAAATATTTTTAACTCACCTGAACTAGCTAGTCTACTGCTTGTCGGACCGAACATTTGATATGGATCTGAAATTATTATACAAAATTTTTTAATAGATTTTTTTTTTCTGTTTTAAGAATAGAATAAATGTATGTGCATAAATTAATTTTATATAAAATTAAATTCCATAAACAGCTCTCTTTAATAACAATCTACTGATTTTATAAAATGCAAGTGAATAGTTAAACTTGATTAGGACATATGTTAAGGACATTGGTCTCATATTGTCAAATTCGAAGGACATTTAAATGCCTACATTATCATTTCCAGTGGCTTCATCATCCTTCATAATTCATAGATTTGTACAATCGGGGTAATAGAGTACCATGACCACTTATAAGAAAATATTGTGCAGCCTCTGAGTGAGGGTCAAGCAATGAACTCGAGCCTAATGAAACTCGTGCACCTTATGACCCCTTAAGTTTGCTAAAGAGGAATATTTCATAATCCTATATGCTCTCACAATTCGATTATTAACGTTATTAAAAGCATCAGACCTTAATGAAATTTAAAAAATATCACTCAAAATTCGCCTATCGATTATAGCTAAGCGAGAAAACGCATTTCCGAGATTTTTTTCATTATTTTTAAACTCCTGTCGGATATTTGTCATTCAGTAGTCCACTATTGATAGTTTCAATTGAATAAACTCAAATTTATTCGGTAATTCAAATTGAATTTTCCACAAAAGGTTAAAAATTCAAGATCCTTCGAAATGCAGTCTTAAAAAATACTTTTTGTTAAAAAGTTTTTTATTACAAATTAAAATTTTCATTCAAAACTCTTATAATGCAATTTTTTTCACAAAATATTCAACACCTTTAATAAAATAAAAAAATATTTGATTTCTGGGGTCTCAATTTAAGGCGCACCTTTCTTTATTTCAATTATTAATCAAATACAAAAAACAGGACTTATTTTCAAGAACTTTACAAGCCAGGCACGCGCATTCTATTTTCGAGTTTCTGTTTACTTTTATTATTCTAGAATGCACCTGGACTTTGAATGTCCTTAATATCCTTATAAAAAAATTTAAATTACAGTAATTATACAAGCTGGGGCACCGAAAATATCTGATTAATAAATCCTTTTTTGTTTGAAATATTAAAAGAATTACAAAAATATTTGAAGAGTTTTTATGAATTTCATGAATGAAAAATTGAAACAATAAATAAATTTTAGTTTTTATTCCAAAACTAAGTGGAAGAACAAAATTAAAATGTTATTGTTTTTTCAAAATTAATCTAAAGAAAACCGCGAATTTTATTACATTGCAACATTTATGGATTTTCTAGGACTCTTCGGTAGCCCTAATTTTGTTATTTTTCTTTTATTTTATTTCAGCAGATTTTCAAAACTCTTCAGTAAGAAACTCTGAATTGAAAACAACAATAAACAAAAATTGGAAATCAAACAAATAAAGGATTAAAATTGTTATTCTTTTTTTTTTTTTTGTTATTGTTTTCTTTACGCGCTATTAAAAATAATTTACAGAAATAAAAATTGTCACAAATCAAATTTAAATATGAATATTTCTGCATTTTATGTGGAACACCAAATTTCAAAATTAGTGGAACAGAGAGAAAAAAATTAATAAAATAAGAATATGGAAAAAAAAATAATCCTTTTCCCCTTTTTATTATTTAAGTGAGGTTTTTATTATTTCCTTCAAAACAATTAAAAAAGGATTTGAATAAAAATATAAGGCACTCTAAAAATAAAGTACATAAAAAAAAAAACAGAAATTTGTACACGAATCCACGTATAGCACACATTATGATTTTTTTTATGTGTGTACATTATAAAATTTAAGACTCAATTAAAAAAAATTAGTGAGCTCGTGGCCTACTCTTTCTTCGGGTATATATGTATATGTAATTATAAAATAATACGGGATATAAAATTATTATCACACATTTCTACATTTTTCTGTTTCCTCTAAAAAATATTTATATAAAATCTTAATTTTATATATAAGTATATAGGGTTGCCAAGTTCAAATAAAATTTGAAACGCAAATAATTTGCAAAACGCAATCGTATGTTGCGTTTTTGCACAGTAATAAAAGCCGCAAAAGTGTTTTTTTAACTCTGCAGTGTTCCGTTAGGAAACCTGTGAGAACTCTTCACAAAAAAAAGCGTTTGACTTGTTGAAGACCTGGAGGTGCCTCCCAGAATAGCTTCGTCAATATCGCAGAAGAGCTTTGGTTCAACTAGGCAGAATTCTCTAACTTAGTTAGCACATCTAGTTCTCCGTTTCTTCTCAGGTTGAAAGGCCCCGACACTAACTACAAAGTGACGCGGTTATTCTGACTCAATTGATTGAACAGTTTTACACCATCCGTAAATGAATCTGGCCGGAGCCCTTATGGAAGCCTTACTATCGGAGATTATTGCTATATTGCGACCGAGTAATCCTTATCCAAGTTAAATTGATAAGATCTATCAAAATTGGAAGAATATCATTATGAAATAGTTTTATTTTATAATTGTAAGAAGTTTGATATTATTGTAGACAAAAACCAATATATGCAAATGATTTGGGTCTATAATAAAGTAAAAAATAAGTTTTTGTATTATTAATAGTAGAATTGACATATCTTGAATGCTCACCTATATCATAGAAAAATAAGTAATTGGATTACTTATTTCTCTATGCCTATACTATATTGTTTAATGTTTTCTATCGTATGCGAAATAAGCATCGTATTAAACTACGGTTTTTTTTTTAAATTGAAGAGCTGGCAAGTCATAGGTTTATTTTTAACTAGCCAACTGTAATTTCATTTTAATATTCTACTATAATAAAATACTTGAAAAATTTTTCATAATATTACTATTAAAGTTATTCAAATTCCAAAAAAAAAAAAAACAAATTTTTATTTTAGCACTTGAAAACTGAACAAAAATTACACAAATAGAAATTTTATTACAATTCTATTTTTGTTTCGACGGTAACATTGTAACAAAATAATAAAAAACTATAAATTTATTGTTAAATACTCTTGTTGCTTGTGTACTATTATTATGTAAAAAGTTCGTCTGGTTTTCATATTGTTTTATATTTTTAATATTCGGATAAACTCCAAAATATTAGACCAAAAATTAGTCAATAATTTAAAGGGATTAATGTTATAATCTTTTTCCGCGGAGTATACCAAACTTGTTCTAATTTTTATAGTTGGATTATGAGAGAAGTGTAAAGAATTCTGGTTATAAGTATAAGGAGTATTTGGGCTTATCTGGTTTTGACGTGTTATTACTTATAAAATTGGCCAAAGTCGTGACGAACTTGAGAAATCTTTCGATTGTTACGATATTGCTGTGTCACGCTACCATTGGTCCCAGACAGATTACGTAGCGGATGTTCGTTCTCATCAACACTGTCAAAACCGACCTATTTTACAATTGGTAATCGTTTGCCGAACTGATGTAGAAAAGTTTGGTAAAACAAAGACGCTACATTCGATATCGCGAAGTAATGTGTCTAAAATTGTGTTAGTGTATATGGGACACTGGCCGGTAAGTGAATATATGGTCAAGCTGAAACTTCCTTTTAATACGTTATGTCACAGATGTCGCCAAATTGATAAAAAAGGACTATTTTTATTACTTCTGCGAAGAGAGCGAAACGATTCTCGTTGGTTGAGGCAAATATAGTTGAATTTAATATTATTTCTAGCCAAAGTATCAGTGAGGTAGTCTGTTTCCTTATGGTCGTGGGATGTGTGTGAACAAACAAAAATAGACCAGTTTTAGGAGGGAGTGTTCTAATTTGAGCGCTGTCGGAACTTGAACACCTCAACCAACTGCAATCAACAAATTGGTCAAAAATAGGAACCATGCCTTGGGTAAATTTACACAGTATTTAAATTACTTACAGTTGACACGATTAATCTTAATTTTTTTTCATTTATTCAACTAAAAATTAAAATGTGATTTTTTATTTTAAATCTTAAAAAAAAATTATTTTCTTCATCATGTACCTATATGGATTACGGAACAATATATTTAATAATGAACTCAAGATTCTATAATATAGCATGCCTAAGCATTACTTTAAATGTAATACACTGCATTATATCCACATGTATATATACATATACACAATATAAAATATCAACTTAAAGTACATACTTGACAAAATAAAAATATACCACTTCAAGTACATTTATACCACCATTCAGTCGTTTTTCAGTTCAGTCGCACCCTATTTCGTTTTGAAAGACTCGCTATATAAATATACACATATATACGAGTACATTACCTATACCCTCACTTATTTATACTATATTATAATATATATAGAGAGAAGAGAATTTTAAGGGATTTCATTTTACTTATAAGTTGAACTGGAGCTGTTAAAAGGTATATAACAGCCAACAAATAAGTACGTATACATACAAGTATATATAGGAGTTTGCATAGAGTAAAATTTGAATTGCTGAATACTTTTTATAACACATTTGATTCGAAGTAAATGAAATTTTATAATAGCGCAATATATAAGTGCTAGTACCATAGCACATTCATACCAAGATTTTAAATACCAAGAATGAAAAATTTAATAGTAATAATGGAGAGAAAAAAAAAATAACAAGTTACAATTTTTTAAATGTAAATAAATTGGTATAACGAGAAAGAAAAGAACAATAATAATAACAACAAAAAAATGGAAAATGTGACTGACATTTGCAAGATTTTCAAAATTAAAATGTTTTCATTACTTTTCTTGTATTGTGATTTTTTTTTTTGAAATTTTATATAAAATTTTCTATTAAAAGAATTTTGTATATTTTAAATTATGCTTGTATTGATTTGGGGTCTCACGAACAAAAAATATTAAAATTAAATTTTAGGCAACGAATAGCTGAATAATCTCTAGAATTGGTTCTGAAACTTAGAGTAAAAATAGATTTTTAAAATAATATTCTTCCTGTGTAGGTACACATGGGTCAAATAGGAGAATGAAATTGTTTTTCTGAGACACAACAAGCGCTTAACAAATTAAAGGCTTCGTTAAGAAAATTTCATTCATATTTAATCAAAATTCAATTAGAATATAAAAAGTTTCTTAAATTTTCTAGGACAATGTGTGAATAAATCAAAATTGTACAGAGACCGTATAGAACGTAGTACATTTTTAATGGTGACAAATTACATTTTTATATCCGGCACTTTCGTGAAGGGTATATTCACTTTGGTATGGAGTTTGAAGCTATTAGTCGTCTCCGGAGTAGACTTGTATATATATATATATTCTTGCTTAGTGTAAAATTCTGTGTTGATTTAGACATGTCAGTCTGTCCGATCGCACTATAACTCAAAAACGAATAATGTAATCGACGCTAAACTTTCATAAGTTATTTATTTTGTGCCAATGGCGACTGGTATTGCAATTAAATTAATGCGAGCAGCGGGTTAGGGTAGCTACCATACAACTCTGGAAGTTCAAAAATAAATTTTTAAAGTTAAATATCGACTGAAGCGTCGATTGAAATTTATATCGACTGAAACGTTTTTATTTGTTACACTTTATTTGATTTCTCAAACATTGAAACAATTATTGTGTTTTCCAGTTAAAATCCAAACTGGCCTTAAACAAAGAAAGCTATAAATGGTAAGAGCCAAAGGATAATTGTGAACAAGGAACTCTAACTAGTCTATATTATATTAAATTGAAGTCATAATCGGTTCAGTTACGAAAATTTTAATCTATTTACAAAAAATTGCATTATAAAAGAGTCCTGTAGTATGAAAAACAAAAAAAGGAAGTAAAAAAACAAAACAATAATTTCTAATCTTTTTGATTTCTGTCATTGTTTTTTTTTTCATTATTATTTATTAAAGGGTCCTTGAGAAATCTATATGAAATGTAATGGATAATAAAAAAAAAAAAGCCAAATGTTGAATAACCATAAGATTCCTGTCAAAAAATAATGTCCTTCAAAAATCATATTATTGTTATTCTTTAATGTCAAATATTTTCTTTTAATTTCCAGATTTTTAAACAAATACAAAAGGATATTTTTTCAATTCAATTTTGTATAACAATTTAAATTTACTTAAAATATTAAAGTGAAAAAAACAAAGTAAAATAAAATGATGAAAATTGGCCAACGTTCTTCTTTGGTTTTTGTTTTTTTAGAAATGTAAAAATGTTGGTGGTTATTGTCTTTTTTAACGTCGTCCTGTGAAATAACCTTGTGAATTTTATTTTGTTTTTATACAGAAAAATCAATATGAAATTAAAAATATAGAAATTTAATAATAATGAAAATTTTATATGCAAAAAAATTAATTTATAAAATTAGTTTCATGTTCAGTCAGAGTTGCAATGCGAATAGCAAACATTTAGTATAGCAAAATAAATATCACTTACAAACGAGGCTACCAGTTACTATAATTACAGTCGTCATCATTTACTGATAGAAAGTGAAAAGAGAGAGAAAAATAATATTATAGAAGCTGTAGGCGCACAGTTTGACACATCGGTTGTCCTTGGAACCATATATTCGCTGGACGAAATGCTTTAAAGGGTATTTGATATGAAAACACTGGTTGCTTACATTATTACTTGTACAAATAAAAACAAAATAAGTACACTATAATAGATTATAAGATTATGTATTGAATAATGATGATAATGAAATTAATCAGTCTTGAAACAGAATAAAACAACACGTTTCCACATTCTACTGTAGTAGTAGCATTTAATTTAATATTAAAATGTAAAATATTATAAATTTAAAAACTAAACAATCAAAATCTAACGTATAAAACTACTGAACAGTAAGTTAATAGTAAAATGAAAGCGCCGATTAAACTGAGAACAAATTAAACAAAATTAATGCTATTGTAGACTTTATGGTCCTACACACCTTCTTTCTTATATATTCGTACAAAAAACCGATGAATACAAGTTGATTTCGTGGATAACATACGCCTTATTGGGTCATGCATTCCAGATAGTCTGTACTATGTTTTCGAGTATTCAAGTAAAATTAATAAGGAAATTAATGCAAAATTTTCAAGTGTTTTATTTCAATAATTAAAATTATTGAAAGCCGAAAATTGAGAATGCATCAAAAATCAACATAGACAACAGAACCTTTAGAGCCCACTACAGACAATTTAAATGTAATGTAAAGGAAAGTATCATTATTTTCTCCCATTAAATTTAAAAATGTCACTATTTTTTTTTGATTTTCACCTATATTTCAATATTATTTATTTATTTTTCTTTATTTCTTGTCTTTGATTAGTTTACATTTTATAATTTATATCCCTTGCTTCCACCTTCCACACATGTGCACTTGTAAATAAAAATTACGATTTTAATGTGGAATTCTTTTAGTTTCTTATGGATAAATATTCTAGATTTTTATCTTGGAAAAAATCAAATTTCTAAACAAAGAAAAATTATAAAATATATTTTTGTGCTCGTATACAAAAAATTATTATCCTTGATTTGTACAAAAAATAAAAAAAAATTCGAAATGAGAAAAACAAATATATTTTTTTTGCTTCTGTTTTCTATTTTTCTCTCTATTATTCCCTCATTTACGTATATACATATATAAAAAAATAAAATATTATTTACTATTATTAAATTTTATTGACTATATAGAAATAAAAATTAGAAAACGAAAAGCAAAAATTCACAATTTCAGTATTTTATTGATTTTATTTGTATTAAAGCAAGAAAAAAAAGCACAAGAAAAACAAACTAAAATAGCCAAATATCCATTTAGATTACGATACGTTTACATTAAATTAAATGAGAGAAAAAAAGGATGATAAAGGACATTTGCTTTTTATAAAATTTTATTGGTAAAAGAAAAAAGCACCATGTACAAAAGTCCTACAATGAAAATTTAAAAATTTGTAAGAATTTTTGGGGTTATTGAATTATTTTGGGGTAATTTGAAATTTTATGGCAATTTATTCTGAAAAATAACAAATAAAAAGCTGGAATTAGGCTCAGAGCTAACAGGGAGTCAGATTTAGAGCTAAATTTTGTATAAAATAACTAAAATAGAGTGAGATTAGGTAATAAACTCTATTGAGATAAATTTTTATATTAATTATGAATGTACTGAAAATATTGCATACTTTTAGGATAATGTTCTTAATAAAATTATTTTGTTTAATGAGGAAATTTAATAAATTAATTAAAAAATGTGTGATTTTTTTAAATTTATTGTTAGTATATTTTAATTAAATTATATTTAAATTTTAAAATTAACAGAGTGAAGGTGCAAATTCACAATAAGTCAATGTTAATTTCAATTTGATGGTGTACGAATTAAAAAGTGAAGACGACTGTGATAAATCTGCTAGATTCAATTCTAAAAATTAAAATTAGTTTTGCCCCTTACTTCTAAATTAAATAATGGGAAAATTGAACTTAGAATTCGAATTTTAAATTTCAATCAATAACAATTTGAATATAAGTCCAATTTCAAAAAAATATTTTATGTAGTTTTTTGCTTGGAATCACTAAATTTGACTTATATATGCTACAATGTAAGCTAGTTTTAATAAATCTCATTAACTTCCTAAAATTACGGGGAAAATTGGTGCAATTGCTTCTTGAAACAGAAAAATTTATATACGACAAATATTCGAGAAATAATTTTTAATATTATAAATTTGGATTTTTCTCATGGTCACTGGATTCAATTATATGGACATTGGATATTATTAAGAGACCTATATGGACATAATAAATTCGATATATATATATATATATATATTTATTAAATATTTACACAAAAAACTGCTCTTCTTTATATTTTATTCTTTCATTTCATTTGATTTTATCAGAAAATTTTTTTCTCAATATTGATCTTTCTCAGCTGATTTGATTGTTTAACTAATTCCAAAAAAAAAATAAGCAAAAATAAAAAAAAAAATATTCTCCTTATGTAAGTTTTGACTTACTTTTTCACAAAATTCTAGTAAAAATTTTTATGTATACTCGAATTTTCTACTACTTTAGAAAAAGAACATAAATTTAATGTGTACGAATTCAAACAAATGATGATATTAGAAATTATTTTTCGAATTTGGACATTACAGAACGCACACACATACGCAAATAAATATATTATATTGGTATTGAATAAATGTTTGATTTAAGTAAATATTTTTTTTTCTTTGTATATTTGGGATTTTTCAGAAGTTAATAAATCTATTTCTATGTGTATTTAATATATATAAAAACATTCACACCCCTATGTTTTTTCATTGAAAATTGCTTTAGAATATTTGTGTTAGGTTGTTGGTATATAATTTCAATGGTACGCGCAGACCATTTACAAGGATAATAATAATAATATTTTGATTCTAATGTAGCTCTAGTTAGAATCATAAAATTTTGTCCAATCTATGATTTAGTTGTAAAATTTAAGAAAGTTTTTTGTCATTCAAACTAGGTAAACAATATATTAAACTCACCTGGTGGTTGTCTTAAATGTGTATGTGGATCTAATGATGATTTTGAAACTCCTGCACCAACACTAACCAATGCATTTGAACTATAACCTTAAAAACAAAAAAATAAAAATTGAAGATTATTGAAATTATTTATGAAAAAAAAATATTAAAATAATTTTAAGAATTCAATTGGTATATTGCAGAATATTTGATAAGTTAAGATTGGTGTAGCTTAGTTACATAATATAGCTTTTCAAAAGATCAAAGAAACGCTTGCAAAAACCTTCAAAAGACTAGGAAATCCCCTCACCGCTCAATATTTTGTAACTAATATCAAGGCTAGAATAATAGCGGGGTATCAAAGACAGTCCGGATTTTTGGTCACTAGAAACCCTTGATATTCCTTAATTTTTGTTATAATTTATAAAAAGATTTTGTTATTGTTTAGATGGTTCAGTTAGAAAGTTCACTATAAGTTTAACTTGATTTCTAAATTTTTTCGATTTTTCCTGTAAAACTTTCCAAATATTTTTGTATTTTTCTAAATTTATAATTTTTTTTGTGTAATTATTTTTTTAAAAAAAAAACAATAAATTCAAAGTTTTTCCAAAAATTTTAAAATTTTTGTAACCACACCAAGAATTTTGTTATACAAATTTTAACTAAAGAAAACCAGAAAACAGAATTGGTAATGGTTGTAGGTACTTTTGAAAACTTTTAACAAAAAATATTATAAACTTTTTAAAGATATGCAAAATTAAAAAAAAAATTATTTTACTCCCTTAGCAGCCATGGAAAAGGTTCCAAAATTTTTAAGTTTTTAAATAATTCTTTGCTTTTATACAAAAAGAAAAAGCAAAAGAAATTTATTATAAAACTTTTTGTAATTCGTAAATAAATTTTAAGTGCAGACCATATTTGAATATATTAAAATTTATACACGAATAATAAAAATCTGTTATACAATAATAAGAGAAAGAGTGAGCATAATATAGAAAGAGAATAATTGAAGTTAAATATTTCTTTTTTCTTTTGAAATTTTAAAATGTTTGTTATTTTAATTTTTTTCTATTTCCGAAAATTTTCGTGTGAGCATATGTGATACAGTTGCAGATATAACACTGGAACTCCGATTAAGCTCACCATTAATTTTAGCTCTTAAAAAAAATTTTCCATCTTGATATAGGAATTATGAGTGTATTTCTCTTATGGCTAAACTCTAAAAGATTTGCAGCTGCACAAGCCTTATAATATAAGTATTTAATACCAATTCTTCCTAAACGTTTCTTCACTTAGAATGGTGAAGTTAAAACTGTTATACATCTGTAGTGTTATATGTTTTCAGTATTATAGTCGATGTCATTATATACAATGAAAAAAAGCTCATTGTAAAAGATAATGTATATCAATTGAACCTAAAAGTATGCTATCTGTTATACTTATTTATAGTAAGCAATACATGATAAAATTTGACGTTTATTCAAATATGGAGCTATATTCTGGAATAATTATAAGTATGTATTTAGTTCTTCTCCTAAACACTTCTTTAAATAGGGTGGTGAAGCTAGAACTGTTATACATCTGCAATGTTATATGTTCTTAGCATTATAGTCATTAGGAGAATAATATATCATCAAAAAGAGCTCACTCTCTCTGATAAAATTAATGTACATTACTTTAAACCAAAAAGTATGCTATCTGTTATACACTACTTATTTATATCAATATTTTCAATATAACTTTATACAGGTATGATGGTGTTTGTGTCTATATTTAAAATTAAATTGTTTATTTTTTTTTTCATACAGTAAAAAGAAATGACGATAATAATACTGTTGTACGAGTAGCTGGTACTGTTGTCATTGTTATACAAACATATTTTGAATGTTATTTTTCATCATTCTGCTTCAGTTATTTTTTACAGGCGCTAAAAAAAGTAACAAATATAGAAGGAGAACAATAACAACAGTAATATGGAAATATTTTGCCAATCACCTCACATATCTATATAGTACTGTATAACAATTACACAGTTAAAGTAAATGAGAATGGTTTTGGTTTTTGAACATTTTGCTAGAGGGTATAATTTGTATTGTAAAGTAAGCATTCTAACGAAATGGAAAAAACAAAATTTTCTTTTATTCATTTGGTTTTTTGCTTTGTTTTCACACATTCATTTTTGTTTTAAAAAAATTTTGTATACCTTGAAGGAAAATTTATCTTTTCATATTTGTGATTTTCAATGAAAAATTCAAAAGAAAACTTTGAAATAATTTTAAATTTTCTTTTGTTGCCTTTCTTTTAAATTTTTTATTCTTGAGAAAATTAAGAAAAAAAAATTTTTTTTTTTTGCCTTTGATGTCTAGCAAATTTTTAATGCAAATAATAATTTTTATTTTTCCAATGAATAATAGAAGAAGATGAGAGAAAAATTTTTGATTTTTCAAAAAAAAAAAAGAAAATTTTCTAAATGACATCAGAAAAAATTTTCTTTTCAAATTTTGTTTTCTTATGTACTCTTTTCTTGCACTTTTTAATTTTTATTGAAAATTTTCATGTCCTTACATTCTGTCTGATGCCAATTTTAATATTTCAGTATAACAGTTAGATTCGGATGATGGGGGGGCGCACAATAACACTTTGATTTTTTTTTTTAATTTTATTTACATACCAAACATTAGAAAAACACGGAAAACGCATTAAATTGTAAGATTTAATAAAAATAATGGTAATAAATAAGAGGGTATATAAAAAAGAGTAAAGTAGTCAAATAAAAGAAAATCAAAAAGGGTTAAATTGATTTTGTTATCCTTTTCCATGTCTTTTACATATTTTTATATTCTTTCTTTAATCATCAGACAATTTTTTGTTTTAAAGTAAATATTGTGGCTACTACAGATTGTAAATTTGTTTAAATATGTTTTTGTTATACGTGTGTAGCTTTTGTTAATGCAGACACTAATAAGTACATTAATGTAGTCTGAATATAAGCATTGCATAGCTATTAAAAGTAAATATAATTTCAATTTTTCGAAAATTTCTAACCAAATACTTTAAAAATACAAAAAAAAATCAATACATTTCTAAAGTTAGTAGATAATTCCTTTATTTGCAAACCTTTGAGAAGGTTGTCAAACCTAAAATAAGATAAACAGATTTATATATTACAGTTTATTTCACTCCAGGATAACAAATGAATTATTGAAATGGGAAGAAGATTAGGTTAGGTTAGGTTAGGTTGTCGCGGCTCCCCGAAGGGTACACATAGGCCAACTAGGTCCGTTGTGGTACTGCTGGATCTTTTCCCTCCCACTCCTCATCTGAACCAGCCCGAACCCTTTAAAAATTGGTTCAAATTCCTAACGCTTACATCCGCTAAGTCCGTAGCGTGTCCGAAGAATTAAGACCCAAGGAATCTCTGCCTGGAGTTCGCCAATGCCGGACATGAGCATAGAAGATGGGTCACCGTTTCCTCCTCTCACTCGTTACAGCAACTCCTACAAAGATTGTTTGCGGGGCGGCCCATTCTCCCTGCATGTTCGCCGATCAGACAATGGCCCGTCAGTACCCTACCACAGCACTGATATCTGTAGCTCTTTCGATGGGATTCCACCTTGCCGTGGTGAAGGAGCTTAAGTAGGGTCAATGATCTTGAGAGCGATGTCGGCGGGTACTACAATTCTGTGGTATCTGGAAGGTGCAACCATGCCGATAAGGTCGAAAGTGAGACCAGAAAAACCAAGAGAATCTCACGGGCTTGAAGTAACGGCGCAAGCCAATCTTCAGCAAGTCCCACGGGCATGAAGTAACAGCGTAAGCTAATCTTCAACAAGTCCCACCCCCCCCCCCCCCCCAATCCAATGGTGTTATACGACCCGTGCCTAGTGGACTAGTTGGTAGCCGGGGGGTATACTGGCTACCGCGAACGGAGTCTCTCTGATACCGGGTCGCCTCAGAGAGTAACGATGACCTTATCCTGGTAAGTCGGCTCTGGCAGGATGGACTGTTTTTCCGGACACACTCGTGGGATCAAAATGGAAGATTCGACTAAAAAAATTTTAAAAAAACAAGAGCCAATTGGCACCTCGTCAGAAGACGAGATACTAGCTTCCAGTCAGGAAGCAGGTGTATCGATTGGTGGTGATGAAACCAGTAAGGTAGCAAAACCACCAAAACAATCTACACAAAAAGCTAAAGGAACCAGCCATAGTTCCAAAAGCAGAAAATCAAAAGGACCCGCCTTCGTACTCAAGAAGAGATATTCGAAGGCCATCTTCATTTTAGGCAAGATTGCCCAAAATGAAGCAGAAGGTAAAACTTCTGAAAAAGACGCGGAGGACAAAGTCAAATACCAGAAGGTAATTGACGAGTACAATGCGTATAAGAGCACGAAGCCTCAGGAGACCACAAAAAGAGTAAGGTCTCAAGATGAAGAAAGAAATGCTCAAGAGAGCAAAAGGTCGAAGGTCGTCAAGCCAGGGACAACCAGACCTTCAACATCAAGTGGTAATCATGCACAGGGGAGAACAATGAGCGAGGTGGTCCGTGATCATCTCCAGTTTGGGGTGGTGGACAGAAAGTCTACCAACCTGAAGTTGTCCTCCGAATTATGGTGCAAGGTCGAAGCAAAATTATCGGAGATGGTAGTTGAACATCTCCTAACGACCGATGGCAACGAAGTCCTGAGCTTCGATTCATCTGAGGTAGTCAGGGGCTACAGGGTGATCAAATGCGAGGACCGGCTTTCCGGGGATTTTCTTAGTTCGTGTGTTGCTAAGATTAGCGATACATGGGATGGGTCCAAGATTGAGCTCATCCCAGCTAAGGAAATTCCTAGGAGACCCCGGGCTCGTATTTGGATCCCTAAGATGAATATTGCGGGGGACAAGTTGCTAAAGGTCCTAAAGATTGCCAATCCTGAGGTGCCGATGGATGATTGGCAAATTATCAAGAAGGAGGAACCTCAGAAAAACAGTGAGTCCTTCCTACTTCTCATTAATGAGGAGAGTCTACAGCCGTTGGACAGGAGGGACAACAGACTGCGGTTTGGCATACGGCATGCCAAGCTCAAAATATTTCGAAATGCGGACCCAGAAGGGGACGCCATA